CACTCATTCTCCCTTTTTTTTTTTTTCTAGTTCAGGAAAGCTGAGAGCTTTCAAGTACCTGGCAGCAAGGGGAAACACCAAATAGCCCAAACTTCTTGTCTAGCCTTGCAGCAGTGAGGACGAGTTCTCTTCTAGGGATGTATTAACGCCGTGAAGTGCCAGGAAGAGGAGCTGGCAGCATCCCCGCTTCACTCATCCCGGTATGAGAGGAAAGCCTGCTGACACGTGCAGTGCTGAGCCTGCCTCAGCCCATGGAGAGCTGCAACGAAGGAATGATGTTTGGAAAAAACCAACCTGTCTGACTGCAGAGATCCTCTAGTTATTGCTCCCCGGTACTGACAAGCACCCGGCTTTCACCTTCCCAAAGGGGATGCAGGCTGTCCTGCTTTCCTCGCGGCAGGGGTCCGCAGCTCTGTGTACCTCGCTCACTTTGAAGAGCTCTTCTGTACCAGAAATGGGGACACAGCCAGCCCGACGCCCCAAGATGTGCTCGTGCCTTTGGCCCTCTCCTCTTGCCCTGGACAGGCTCAGAGCAGGAAGGACAGACTGGCTACACAGGGAAAAATTCAGCACCATCACACAAGCCAGGGTTTTTGCCCAGTATGATCCTGGGGGAGAGAAGCCACTGGGACTGGTGACGGGAAGGCTGCAGAGAGCAGATAACACCAGCTGGTGTTGGGAAGGCCATGGGGAAAAGGAGCAGAGCCAATTAAACTCCCCAGTCAATGGAGGGGAAGTAATGGGATTAAGATACAGCAGGGAGAATTCAGGCTAGATATCAGGGAGCAGGCTATCATGAGAGGAGCAGACTGGGCCATCGACTGAGCTGCCAAAGGAATCGCCGTCACCGGCACAGACACGGAACAGAGCAGACACCAGTCTGCAGGAAGAGCAGGCGCCCGACTGCTGCTCAGCCTGGAGCCGCGGCAGGTGGATGTCTGCGTGCCGGGGGAGATGGGACCACTCTGCCATGGAGAGGCTGTGCGCCAGAATGGGGACAGACTGGCTTTGGATAGCTGTGCTGATCACCAGAGCTGCAAGAATTAAATCAGCTGCCCTTTGCCCAGGGCACCAGGGTCCTTCGCCAACACTCAGGAGGAAACCTATTGTCCTGGGTAAAGCTGGGACAGAGTTCACTTTCTTCATAAAAGCTAGCAAGAGGCTGTGTTTTGGATTTGTGCTCAGAAGAATGCTGATAAAAAGTGATGTTTATAGGTGTTGCCAGGACATTCAAGGTCTTTCAGCCTCTCTGCTGTCCACAGACAGAAGACACAGTTACTCGCCCAGGATTTGATCTTAGGTTTGGGACTGAGACCCAAAGTGGCCAGTAATCTATTCCATAATGTACAAGTCATGCCCAGGATATAGGTGAGGACCCTCCAGAAGCTCGTCCCTTTTTGTTCCGGGTCCCCTTTTGCTCTGAGTCATCTCGCTCCAGGTGGTCCCTCTCCCATGACCTTCTTCCCCCACCTCGGTCAGCTCTTGGTCTGGGATGCTCGTGCTGTTATCTCTGTTCCGTGAGTGCGGTTTCGGGACCCTCCCTGCTCTGGGATCGTTATCCGGGAATGGGCTGAGCCTTGGTCATCGGGTTGTGAGTGTATCACTGTGTGTCACTCATTTGTATATTTGTATATACTATTATTTCCAATATCATTGTGGTTTAGTTATTAAATTGTTCTTATCTCAACCCATGAGTCCTTTTTCCCTTCACCCCTTTAATTCTCTCCCCCATCCTTCCAAGGGGGGAGGGTGAGCGAACCGGTTGCATGGGGTTGGCTCCCAGGCAAGAGTGAACCCATCACACCTATACGTGCACATCCCTTCTGCTGGCTGCGTCCCATGCTGGGGGGTGGGAAGGGAGAGTCTTGAACTTGTCTGCCATGAACTTCCCTGCCAGAAGGAGAGGGAGCACAACCCCATTTCAGTCTGTCCTCTTCAGCTCCACCACTTCTCTGCCAAGCCACCAGCCAGCTCCCGTCCCTGCTGCCCAGTCCTGCTCCCCCCAACGCCCAAGCATGCCATCCCCCCTTCCTGAGCCTAAGACAGGGCAGGAAGGTCTCCAGCTTGGGAAGAATGGAGGAGGCTGGACTGGGGGGGCAGCTCCACCAAGTGCAATGGGGTAGGAGGGCCAAGAATATGAGGACGGGATCTCCAAGAAAACCTGGCATGCAGCAGAGAGCACTGGTGAGAGAGGTCCCACTTCTCCTTGGGGTGCTGTGGGTCTGGGACCTGGCTGGCAGGATGTGTATGGGGAAGGTGTTCAGCAGCAGGAAGATTCTGCATGGATCCTGCAGGCAAGAGCAGCAGCCATGCCTCAGACACAGGTATCCACCAGAATAAGATTTTGTAAGTGAAAATGGGGCCAGAGGAACGAATTGAGGCAATCTCACAGAGGCCAAGGACAAGGTGCCTGAAAGCAGAACGCTGCTGCAGGTGCTAAAGGACGGCGGCACAGAGACCCTACTAATCTGTCCCTATTCTGAGGACTGTCTTTGCCCCAGGGAGCTCAAAGGCCTGCCAAGCCTTTGATAAATCCATCTGTCCAAGGCACCTTGGAGGCTGGAGATGGAAAGACGAGCCATCCCAGCCTAATTTAAGCAATGTGTAGGAGATTTCAAAGAGAACACATTGGGAAGGACAAGCAGACCACACTCCTCGCTAATGACCCATTGCAGCTCCATTGACTGAACATCTCCCGATTCACCAGGACGTGCACACACCATTATCTCCCCAGAGTCACGAGGACCCTCAGCACTGGCCTTGGCTTACGTTAGGCCCTTGGAGAGAGAAACACAAGCGCACAGCAAGCCGAACGTCACCACTAAGTGAGAAAATCCCAGGGCAGCCAAGAGGGCTGTAGCAGCTTTCATCCAATTTGAATCTGTGCCAATAATGATGAGAATAGATCATGGAGAAGAACGTGCCCACCCTGGAGACCTTATGCTTCCCAGTTCCCAAATTCCTCTTATTGAAGCCAACATCTAGGTCTGGTAGTGATAGTAAAATTACAAGACAGAATCACAATGGAGAGGGATTTTAAGCCTTGCTGTTCAAACCACCCTTGCTTGGAGTCTAGCACTCGAGATCCAGGAGGACAAGGGCAAGAGACACTGACCAGGACACACAAGGCACGAACAGACCACTCTGGGGGCAAAGCCACGTGGAGCCTTTAAATTCCCACAGGTGCTGACCGCTCCAGGCTTGCCAGCAAGAGATGATTTTCGAACTGACTGATGTGGTGGCAGGGTGCATCTGCAGCCTCCCCAAGACCTGGGAGGAAGCACTACAGCAGCATGACTGGAGAAACAGACCCTTCATTCATAAATTGGCAGGAGGAAGACCGCCTGAACTAAATAAATATGAACTAAATAAAATGCCTTATTGTTTGCTGTTACATCTTACCCCTCTGCGATGGATGCAGAGGCAAACACCAAGCTCGAATGCCCAGGTGCTCATGGACTTGTGTTGTCACCCAAGACCTGCTGTTCTCAGCCGTCGTTTGCCCCGTGGTGAGGCTGAGGAGCAGTGCTGCCTGCCTGGAGAAATTGCTGGCTGATTTGGCATGCACTCCCGCAAAGAGCTGACTGAGGCGGGAGAACAGGGACACGGGAGATCTGGGGATGTGTTGACAGGAGAAGGAAAAGCTGGGTGCTTGCATGATGCAGCCACTGTGAAGCAGCTTCAGCGACATGCAGGCTCCTTGCCCAACGTCACCAAGATCCTTTCCAGCAGGACAGAAGGAGCAGCACCAGGCCAGCCTACCCTGACAGGAGCAAGGCAGAGGAACCCAGGGGCTGATCGGCTACACAGAAGCCACCTCACTTTTCACAGCCTGACACTCCTCTGCAAAAAGCTCTGTAGTGCAAACCGCTTGGTTGAAGCATGTTTCCCTCTAACATATCCCCAGCCTCTGTTCTGCAGAGCATCCTTCACGGCAGACACCTCCCTGCCTCCCAGCTGTGGGTCCTGCACCCATGGTGGGGCTCCCCAGAAGGCGAATCCCTTTGCTCCTCATTTCCCCAGCCCCAGTTCCCAACGCTTCAGCACCCTTTTACATTTCTCCCTCCCAGCCCCTCAGAGCTCTCTGCCAAAACCAGGCTGCCAGGAGCCTGCAGCCAGAGCCCAGCCTGATCTCATGCAAAATTCACTCTTGCAGACATGCACCAAACTGCTACTCCCTTATCAATAGGTGAACTGCAGCTGAACCTACCAGAGCCTTCCTCGATGCTTGTCTGAACTGATTAGGACACACTGCAAAGCCAGGAAGGGACCCCAGCCACTTGACGCATTGCCTATTACCACGATCCCATTTTCTCTTTCCAGCTGAGCCCTCCTCCTGCAAGCGGATCGGCAGCGCCGCAGGTCTCCGCTCCATCTGGGTTTGCACATTCCTCCCGTCCTCAGTGCTGCCTGCCTGCTGTAATCCCAAAGCGAAAGCCCTTGACCAAGGGGATGCTGACTCTCCGAGCTGGCGTGCCGAGGCTTCCTAAGGAGCCAAGCCTGGGATCTTCTGGAGGAGGCTTGGAAGTTTTTGGAGGAGCTGCCACTCCCAGCAGTGAGAACAGAGTAACAGTCGAAGCATGGTCTAAAAAAAAAAGCGGGGAGGGTGGGGAACGGTTGGGGGGGAAAGGGAAGAGCTGGATTCGTGGCTTTCAGCCTTTGCTCTAACCTGCCGCTCAGCTCCACGTGCCTGGATGCCCCAGACCTTCAGGCACAGGCAGTTACGCACCGCTGCCGAAGGGCCCATTGCCCTCCACCCTGCCAGGGGTCTCGCTCCAGCGCGGGCAGCGGGGTGGGCAGAGGTGCAGCAGGGTGCTTTCTGGTGGCTGCTGGTTCCTCGGAGCATGAGCCGGGCTGGAAGCAGGGCTGGGGGCCAAAGCACCCCCTCCCTGCATCAGCCCTGTCTTTTTATTCCCCCCTTTGGATCTTGATGCCATGAATTATGGTTTTGGGGTTGGTTTGGTTGTTTGTAGGTGGTTTGTTGGGTTTGGGTTTTTTTTGCATGTGGTGGTTGGTCTAGAGTTCTGTGCCATGTCAGGGGGAGCATCAGCACTCACCCCTCCGGCAGGTCAGAGCCACAGCGGGGGGAGCTTTCGCTGGCTGCTGGAGCGACATGCCCTGTCTGCTCCATCCTGATGTCCTCCTGGGCCATCTCCTCTCCCCAAATCCTGTGTTGGCTTGGGCCAGGCAATGGACAACAAGATCTCACCGGCCTCTTGCTTTCACAGTGAGGTCTCCACGCAGGACCCATTGCGGTGGAGGTGACGGTGGTCATGGTTCAGGCAGCCTTCGTTGCGGTGCACAATGAGGATGGGGAAATAGAGGGCATCCTGGTAAGGGGGGGGGTCTTCCTCCTCCACAGTCACCTGGCTGGAGAGGCGGGTCTGCTCGGTGGGGCAGCTCTGCTCATTCAGGCTCCCGCTGCGGCTCTGCCAGAGGCAGCTACGTGGGGGCGACCCGGGGAGAAGCGGCTGCTGCTGAAGGGGATCCTGGGACTGCCGTTGCAGATGCTCAGGGCACTGCGGGAGAAGATGGAAGAGCTGCTTATAGTCCTGTGGCACCGCTCGCAGTTCTGCCGGTAGCCCCCATATCGGCAAGCAGAGTAGCTGGCGCAGCCGGAGAGCCCCACCAAGTCCATCAAGACCGCTTCCGAGTAGCTGGGCACCAGCTGCTGGTTGGATCGGATGTGCCACTCCAGCTCGGTGCTGTCCACCGTGTTGACGCGAGGCATCCTCCGGCAGAAGGAACGCTCCTCGGCCGGCGTCACCGCCACGTAGTCGAACCCAAAGAGTTTCTCCACGTGGTAATGGACGTAGGAGGTGCGGTACTCATTTAGCACCCGCAGGGGCCAGGATAGGGTCAGCAGAGCTGCCACCCAGAAGACATAGTGGGATACGTACCAAGGCAGGTTGTCTGGGTCAGAAAAGGCCACCATGTATTCCTTGAAGTCCACGTTTTTGAGATGCATCCCCTCCCTGGCCTCCATGTAGTCATCTAGGCCCTCGTTCTCCGTGAAGAAGCGGGCCCGCTGGGTCAGGTAGGAGTTCTCCGACTCCACGTTGGCAAAGCTGAAACACTTGGTGAAGCGCAGGCGCGTGGCCGGGTAGCTCTCCAAGTCAATGAGGTCCTTGGAGATGTCCTTAACTCCACAATTGGAATAATCAAACTCAGCCTCGGCCACGTGGGTGTTGACCCTCTCGTGATACACTTGGGTGGTGGTGTAGGCATCCCCGTGGCGGCGGCGGGTGACCTGCCGGGTCCTGCGGG